TAAATTAAAATTTTTTAACAATTGCACTTAAAAATTTATTACCCCACATGACCGATATTAACCACATATCATTCTTATTTATAAATAATTTTAATAAAATTAAAATGTAGATTATGTTAGAATTTAATCAAAATTCAAAAATTTTATATAAACCATGTTATGTTCTCTATTTTTTGTTTAGCTTTTTTTCCCGTATTTATTTTTTAAAAATATATGTACAATTATTATTAAAAAAATGACAATATTAATATTTAATATAGCTTTTTATTAGAAAAATAAATAAATAATCAACTACGGGTCCATTTTGGGCGATAATGCGGCACCGTACCGCAGTTTTGTCTGTTTGAGTAAATTGTGTTTTGACAGTTTTTTTCAAAAAATTGTCGCTGAAATCTTGATTTCCCACCACTTCTAGTTTGATGCGGTCACAGCTTTCTAGCTGCGACATTTTTCAAAAAAAAATTGTAATAACCATCACAGTTTTTTGAGTATCAAATTATTATTCAGCAGTTTTACAACTATTTTTTAATAAGATGTAACTGCCCCAAACAAATCCACATATTGTTTACTTATTATAATCTTAGATATCTAATATTAAAATTTTAATATTTAATTGTATAATATTTTAGTGCCATAATCAAATTTAAAGTTATATTTGAAACCATATTTACCTCAAAAATTAAATACTAATAATATTTTTATATTATCTCAAAACCTTAAGCATTATTTAAATAAATACTAAAAATTATTCATTCGATATATAAAATCAAAAAATTAAAATTATTTGAAAAAACCCAAGGCCGAATAAAAGGTTAACCCCACAAAGCTCTCTATAAAAGGTAACCAGAGGAACAAGCTTTCTCCAACCGGTGGGCATTCCACTGCTACCATATCTGTGTGCGTGCATTACCGCTTTCCGCCTCTTCTCAAATCCTTCTTTCCCGCACAATCTTCGCCGGTACGGTGATCTCAGAAAATGTGCGGCGGTTCCGTCATCTCCGATCTAATCCCCTTCACCTCCGGCCAGAATCTTTCCCGCCGGAACCCCACGCCTCCCGAAAACCCCAAATCCGCCGATTCCAAGGACTCCAATCCCGCACTCTCCTTAGGTTTTCTTACCTCTTTTTATTTCTAATCGCATTTTGCGAAGCTTTTTAATGATTGTACTTTACTTGCTATCTGAATAGATGAGACGAAGAAGAAGGTTCGAAAGAACATTTACCGCGGGATTCGGCGTCGCCCGTGGGGAAAATGGGCGGCGGAGATCCGCGATCCGAGAAAGGGTGTTAGGGTTTGGCTCGGAACTTTCAGTACGCCTGAGGACGCTGCCCGAGCTTACGATGTCGCCGCGCGCGAGATCCGCGGTAGCAAAGCGAAGCTCAACTTCCCCGATGAAGTTCCCGGCGGCGATGTCCCAAAGAAGCGGCGAGTCACGCCGGAAAGCGGGTGCGGGTCGCCGGCTACTACGGAGGTGTTGAAGGAGCGGATTTCGAGCTTGGAAACGTTTTTGGGGCTGGAGCATGAGGTAGGGCAGGTGCAGGAGGCCGGCGAGTCGGGCG